ATCCCATCAGCGTCGCCTTCCCCCGTCGACAAGACTTGGTCCAATTCCCCCAAGGAAATTGTAGAATCCACCCATTACGAGATCGCCACGGACCGTTTCGCGTTCTCTCTCCTCTCTCTCTTAGATTCCTCGAGATTACAAGTTCACAATATTAATCCTTTTACGATTTAATCGAATGACTTGTCTCGGATTCGAGAATTCTTGAAAAAATTCTTGGGAATAGAATTATGATAAAGTGGCAATTAAAATATTTAAAATTGTCTATATATCTTGAAATGGTATTTTGGATAAGTGTAAACTTTCAAAATTGTAAAAATTCTAGACATCTATGATGTCTTATCTTGAAGTTGTGGATCAATTTTGACAGAAAGGCTTATTTGAAAGGATTAAAATATTTCGAATATTTGGATTACAAATTGGATTAATACAAATTGGAATAAATCGTTTTTTAAATTTTACACGATTTTACATTTCCAGCTGTGAGGAAAAGTTATGGATATTTCGCCTCTTTCAAAATATCTTTTTTTTCCTCTGGCTGAATAATTTTTTCAAAAGAAAAACTCTCGTTTCGTGTAAAATTCACTTAATTCAGCTAGACTTCTTTTTAACATAAAAAATATATCCGTATATATTCATCTTATTTTATTCTATTTAATCACGAGTTGTGAAACTAAATTCTAGCATCTGATGGAAATCTGACTGAACAAAGTGGAATAATTTAAAAATATCGAGATCTAAAATCTAAAATCATCTACATACATCTACGTATATCTGAAAATCAAAAAATTTTCCTTTCAAAAATCGCGGTCTAACATTTTGCCTAACGCGTCGTAATTGTCCGCAATCAACTCAAGGACGATATTCCAGAGCTCGCCACCACGATTACTTTCACACGCCACAGAATTTGCGACAGTCGACGCAAATTCAGCGCCCTCTGTAATTTCGTTTCCCTTCCTGCGCGTAGCGCGCGTACCACAGGCCTGTTGGCTTTTCACTAAAATTTCGAAATTCTAGTTTGGATCCTAGGATGGAAAATGGGAGTTCGAAGTAAGTTGGTCAAGTAAGTAAGTTTCCTCGAGCAACTCTCCTGTCATCTTCCGCTCGGTATCGAACTCCTGTTAAAATCCGACGTGGATCGAATGAAACGTCACGAGAATCTTCTTTGAGAGCGATAGACGATCCGGTTTCACGAACATAGGCGGTGAGTGGCCACGTCGATTAACGAGTGACGTCGATTAACGAGTGACGTCGATTAACGCAACAAAAGCAAGAGTGGAAAAGAGTGAAATTATCGAGTAAAAATTTTAAAATATTAACTTCTGGAAATTAAATATTTAATTAAAATGTGAATTAAAATATTTTAACTTCTGGAAATTAGAAAAAAATTCGTATGTTTGTAGACTGTATCGATTAATTGAAGAAAATGGAAGTGTAACAAATTGAGGAATAAAATTATAAGCAATCGAATGAAAATATTTTAGTTTCTCGAAATTAAGAAAAACTTGATGTTTAAAAATTGTAATTTCAATATATATTTTTTTCGTTTCTTTTGCAAAAATTCAACGCGATTTACTATTATTACGTTAGTTATTAGAGGTTAACCGGAAATGGAGATGCAATTTGCATTGCAATTGTTACAAATTATAAGCCATCGAATGAAAATATTCAACAAAATTACAATTTCAATGTATTTTCCTTTCTGTAAAAATCTCATGCAGTTATTTTATCGCATTAGATTAGGTTGGTCCATTTTCATGCGATCATTTAGTCGATCTCTTTTCACTTTCTTTCTCTTAAATTCATAATTAAATCAATTTATACTTAAAACAATTTATACTATTTAAATTTATATTATTAGGACTCAGATTATCATCGAGAAATAAATAATAATTTTCCGTTCGATCAAACAAATTTTACCACAATTAAAAAAAAAACCATAAAATTTTTATCATTTTGCAATTTTGTACGCGCCAATATCTTGATCAAAAAAAACAAATATCTTTTTCGTACTCATAAATAAATAAGAGACAGAGAAAAAAGTAAGAAGGGGACAACGAAATCGGATCTTCTTTGAACGTCGTAAACGGAGCAAGACGGATTAAATCGGAAAGATCACGATACCAGTACGTTCCCTAAAAATATCCTCGTTAAATATTGATCGAACGAGTCCCTAGTCGCTCGTTCTTGGGTCGAAATTATCGCTACCAGCTATATATAAATGATTCTCTCGAGGGGATCGGAGGGAAAGCGGTGGGTGCAATTACGACAAATGTTGTTTTCATGTACCCAAACCGTGGTTGGTTGAAACGTTGCTTAATGCGTTTTTACAAGGAGCGATGGTTCAGGAAAACGTTGGGCCGATCCGTATTATCTCATAACGATCACCGTGCTCTCGCGGATCACGCTCCCTTCGTCGTTCCGTGAAACCACATTGACATTTTTTGTGCTCTCGTCGTCCTCGTCATTCGCATTGGGCAAAAGTACGTTTCTTCCACTTTCTTTTTTTCGCACCGTGGATATAGTTAATGCTCGCGATTCGTCAACGACCGCTCGAGTAAAAAAGCACTCGTCCTACCCGTGGATAATCCATCCTACGCCGTCACCCGTCCATTCTCGTCCCTTGTACGATTATGACGAGGGGGAATCTCTTTCTCCCTCTAACGTAACGAGAAGCGTTTTTAAGATTTATTCGCCTGGATATTATGTCGCTATGCGATCATCTTTTTTAATGAAAAATTATGGCGAATTTCGCTTTTATAAAAATTTTCAACACTTAAATTCGCCGATTTTAAAATTGATATTTTAAAATGCTCCTTAAAATGTTTATTTCGATTTAAGCGTATTATATATAGAAAGTGTAGTTTTTAATCATTCATCGTTCTCGTTTATAACTATAAAATATGCTTTATATTTTAGCGATTGATATACGTCTCATACTTAACTACATTTAAAAAAAAAAAAAAAGAATCGAAATTTAAATTATCTGTTCCAATGCCAATATCCTGACGATAAAAATTCCTTCCACGTCCACTCTGGGACAAAAGTAAATGTGGGTTCGGTTCCATTTAAACGGAACTATTTCAAACCCTTTCTTCCATTACTTTTCGAATACAATGCGCTCGAACGGGAGCGAAACTGTGAATAGATACGCGAATGCGGCAACACTGCAACTACCGGATTAAGTTCTTCGCCACGGCTATCTTAATCGAACATAAATTATTTTTACACCTTTCTCGATTGTTTCAAACCACCACCGTGTTCCTTCCAGTTCCTTACCATTTCTACTTGGAATTCTAATCGCGGGAAAAAGAGAATCACTCCGTTCGCAATTTCGAGGAATGTTGTATTGTATGGAAGAAAGTTCCAGCGTATTCGACTTCGCCGAGTGGATTCGAGATTTTTACGAGCACGATTGAACCGCGCTAAACGCGGTGAGTGTCGAAAAATGGCGACTGTGCAACGTGCGAGTTTACGTGCGCGACAAACGAAATTTCACGATAATGATGTTATAAATTTTTACAACCGTGAAACATCAGAGATTATTGCGAGCGTTTTCCTCTAAATTTTTATTTAATATAAATATGTTATGCAAATTTGTTTCGTTAATTATCGATAAACATAGATTGAATTTATCGAAAATATCGGCGGTTTCCTCATATCAATATGTTCTGTTAATTGAAGAAACATAACTTGAATATCAATGATAAATGTGTGTAATAATATTATAAATATATTTGTGTTTCGGTTTACGTACAAGATACACACACATATACCTAATCGTTATCGTTAAAATCCAATTAATAAAAGACTTTTCGCATTATATCAACAAAGGTTGATGGATATAATATAAATAATAAAATATAATAATATATAATAATATAATAATATAATAATATAATAAAAAGATAGAAATTTGTTGTTGTATCTCAGTTTTAAAGAAATAACCAATGGAAACAAAAACATCGTGTATATCCTAATTGTCGTTTTTTGTTTTTGTCGGAAAAAATGTTTCCTCGATACGATTTTTGAAAATGTTTGACATATAAATCGACATGTTTTTTCCACGCGAAATTGCTTCGATATGTTTTTTTTTCGCGACACACGATCGCGGTTTTAAAAAGCTCCAGCGTCGTTTAATATTTACGACATTCGCCAATCTGCTTTCGTCGAAAGTCGAATTGTGATCTGCCATCACAAAAATATTTAAACCTTTCTTGAAGAATCTTGATTAAGAAGTTCACATTATAATTACTTATATTAATCTTACATTATAATCCCGTGATAAAATAACACAAGTTTCGAGTTGTAACAACGTATTAATTTTCATAGAAATATTCGTTAAACTTCGTACGTATCGATAAATTTATAGCGGCGCAAAATTTCTAGATGAAGAGATAGATTTCATTGCACGCAACATACATCGAACATTCGATATTCGTTAGAGCAGAGGGAATTATATACCGATTGTTTCGTGAGGAAACTGAACAAAAAGTTTCCTTTGTTACACTCTTCGCTTTGCTTCTTTTCGACAGAAATGATGATCCGCGATATTCGTTCAAATGGAAACCTACGTTTTCAACTGGGAATACGATATTTGTGAATATTTGCATTAGTTTCGAAATTCAGAAACAGAATTCGCTATAATTAACACAATCAAAAACAAAAGAATTAAGAGTTTCGCCAAATATTTTTCCGAAAACATAAAAAATAAAGATTAGAAGATCGATCGTCTTGCGCGAAATAAAACGAAGCCTCGATTAATTTAAAATAAACGTTGAAAATACGAAATCTATCTCTTTTAATTTCGAAATTCGTTTATTTTTTCAAAGTCGTTTCTCCTTTTCGAGAATCGCGTTTGCGTAAAAATTGATAAAATAATGAAGGTTTTGCTACGTCAGGACACGATCAATCGCGTTTCGAAATGGCGACGTTTGATTTTTTTTTGCTAATGGAAAAGAAGTAGAGAGAAATATAATTGGACTTGTTGTTTTTTTGCTCACCTTGAAACTCCTTTCTGGCCGCGCTCACGGAAGTTACGATGTTGGCTACGTGTCCGAGCACCGTGGCGAATAACAGCAGGCCGAACAGTAGCTGAGCTATTACAAACAAATACTCGCCTTTGCTTCTTGGTCTGAAAACAAAATGGGCGAACATAAGTTGTACGTTCTCCCGTAGGTTCCAGTACTGGTAAATATTCGCAGAGAGATAATTTTTTAATTTCACGTCGCACGAATAACGTATACTGGAGAAAATTCATTTTCAAATGTATAAAAAATAATTGTTTCAATATAATGTAACGGATTAAACAAAATACGCGTATACAGGCAAAGAATTAATATGGATAATTGATCGGTCGTATTTCAACAGTCGAGAAGCATTTAAATTTCAATTTTGTAACGGATATAACATTTCGAAACATCTGTTTTAATTTAAATCATTATGAATTATCGATAAATTTTTTTGTTCTTTTTTTTTTTTTTTTTTTTGTAAATTAAATTTAAAGTTAAAAAATTACTTCGTATCAGAAATTCGTGAGATATAACGGTTCGTTCAAGAGTCAAATATACGAAATTTAAGAATTTTCTTTTTTTTTTTTTTTTTTTTGTAAATTAAATTTAAAGTTAAAAAATTACTTCGTATCAGAAATTCGTGAGATATAACGGTTCGTTCAAGAGTCAAATATACGAAATTTAAGAATTTTCTTTTTTTTTTTTTTTTTTTTTTTTTTTTTTTTGTAAATTAAATTTAAAGTTAAATAATTACTTCGTATCAGAAATTCGTGAGATATAACGATTCGTTCAAGAGTCAAATGTACGAAATGTAGGAATTTTCTTTTTTTTTTTTTTTTACCGTCATATTTAATTTGCAAAACTTTGCAAAACTATATTGACAATATGTACAGAGACAATCGAACATTCGCTATCTGACGTATTCTTTAATCTTTAAGCTATTGATATTTATGGATTAATTTTAACCTATCTTATATTATAATAAATATATATAATAATATTATTAATAACAATATTCCTAACGTTGATAATCTTTTTATTTCTTTCAATCTTTCAACAATATGTCTTCAGTGTCTTTTTTTTATTTTTATATAATTTTCAGTTTCATCATTTTTATCATTATTTCATTATTTCAAATTATCATTATTTAGGATCAAATCTGATCCATATTTATTCGATAATTTATAGGATAGGATTGTTGAGAATATCCCGTAGAAATTAAAAATAAAATTTTGTTCATTGAACCTAACCTAAATTATTTGTATTAAATAAAATCTTCGCCGACACCATTCACTTGATCTTCAGAAAAATATTTTTAAAAAAAATCGATCTTTTATATTACATAGATTTCAATTCGCTTCAACTATGATCTGTTCTAATTGGAATTTTCTTATAATTAACTCTTTAGAAGAAGAAGAAAAAGAAGAAGAAGAAAAAGAAAAGAAAAATCGATAAACGAAATAAAATTACCTGGGAAGATCACCGATGGTGGTGAGGGCCAGCGTGCACCAGTAGTAGCTTTGCAAATATTGTTTTACCACGTCCGCGGTCTCGGAATCGCTGAATACCCAGTTCTTACTTCCGAACCCGTTGTTCTTATAAATAATGTGATAGAGGCACCCGTTCCAGTGAAAGATCACCAATAAATAATGTATCAAGGAGGTGGAGCGGAATAAATTCGGATAGTTGGTGTGTCGCTCGGTTCTGTCCATGAACGCCCAGAACCTGATTTCGTAGAAAAAAGATTCCGTCATATTTCATTGTTATTCTTTTTTTTCCTTTTTTTTTTTTGTTTCAAATAATCGAATTATACGAATTAAAAAATATCAAGTTGGTAGGAATTATGATCTTTTTTCTTTCTTTTTTTTTTTTTTTTTTTTTTGATCACTTTATCGCACGATATTGAAATTAAAAAAAAGAAAAAAGTTCTCTTGCCTGCAAGTTTTTTTTATTATAGCACGTAAACGAATATCGCGCGGTATATCATTGTCATGGTGGAATTTTTTTTTTTACCGTTTTTTAAAAAAAAGAAGAATTCTCTCTCCGTTTCGACATTTCGATAAAAGTGTCGTCGTCGAAACTGAACTCGAAATTCATCGTCGCGATCGTTCATCGCTGCTTTACGACTCATTTGCAAATTCCGATTATCAGGAAATAATTAACGAAATGATAGCTATTTATCGTCGATTATTATAGTCTAGAATAATAAATTATAGGGAAAATAAAGATCGATAACTTCCTCTCTAATGAAGATTATTAATAGTTTCGAATAAACGAATGATAAATCGATTCGTTAATATCGTCGTTTGTTCACTCACCGATATATCTTCACGAGCCTAAAACTTCGAAGTATACTGTTGAATCCTATAGATAAGTATAAAAAATCGAGGGGCAGCAGGCACAGGATGTCCATGTAAAACGTAGTGCTGTTCGTATAATGATTTCGTAGCTTGGTCGCGTCTGTTTGCAAGACACCGTCCTCCAAATATCCGGTTCGGATGTGAAACACTATGTCCAGTACGTATAAAAAATCGGAGAAGTAGTCCAAGCAGAACCACACCCACCGCGTTTCGCCTGGACAACGACAAAATAATAATATTTATATATATGAAAAAAAAATATAAGTATACATTTAATCATTATTTTATCGAACGAAATTTTAACAAAAATTTAAACGAAAATTTCAGCGTTAATATATTCAACGCATCATCAAATATCAAAGAGGATATCCCCGCTGATATATCGAATTTTCGATACGTACGAAAAAAAAAAAAAAAATTTTGTAAAACGAGGAGAAAAAAAAAAAAAGAATTCAAACGAATTGAACGTGTATGCGAGATAAAAATCGGAATATTTCGAAAAATCTTTTATATTTCTCGAGAAAAAAATTATGACGCGCCGTGTACGTCATTCGTCGTATAATATATATAGGAAATCCGCTATGACGTGTACGTCCACGTCACCCGCCGCATTATAGGAAATCCACCATGACGCATACGTTCACGTCACCCGTCGTATTATAGGAAATCCTCGTGACGCGTACGTTCACGTTCATTCGTTATAGGATAGGAAATCCTTATAATTTACCAATCGTTACGATAGACGAAATCCCTTTTTCTAGCAACGATTCATCTCCCTCCAATCATCGAATCGAAAACCGAGACAAATGGGAATCGCGGGAAAGAAAGACTAACCGTTTATTTCTTGAAAGGCGAACCTATAGATGATGACCCAGAAGTTGTAAAGGAAGGCGAGGGAAACGACCATCGACCAATAGTAACAGAGACGTCCCGCGGGATCGAAGATGAAGGACCAATTAGGGGCACCCGTACGAAAACCTTTCGTCCCCGCTTGACCCGGGTAACCTCTGCTACCGCGTTGCTGCTGTTGCTGTTGCACCGTGTACCTCCTAGGGAAGATAATTAGGGCAAGACGATTATGCGAAAAGTTACTAGGACGCTGTCATAGTTCTTTTTTTTTTTTTTTAATATTGAAAGCGGATTAAAGCGATAGGAATATGTATATGTATATTTTTTGGATTTTGAGAATTTTAAATTTCGGAATTTTCGAAATTAAAAATCGGATTTCGATATTCGTAATTATTTTTTGTTGTTTATCGAGAACTGCTACAAGAAAAAAAAAATTTTAATTTTCATTTTACGTCGAAATTTCGATATTCGTCAAATATATCTATCTCTCGAAATAATTCAGCGCACTACTATTAGTTCGATTATTCCATTTCGAATATTTGCTCCATTCACAAAAAGCGTATTCGATATTTTCCTATTTGTTATTAAATATTTACTACACTTTAGCCTATATATAATTAGATACACACGTTTTTTTTCTATATTAGATTCACTATTTTGTATCGTTTCGTTCTTGCAAATCGTAACCGATCGACACCTCCATCAAAATTCTTTATTCAATGAAACTAAACTTTGTTCTCGTTTCCCATAAAATTTTCAACATCTTAAATACATATTTACGAATGAATTTAATATCAAATGCAAAATTCTAAAGCTTTGCGCGTTTAAATTATCAAAACATTACACGTATCCCCATTTTACGATCAATCAATTTTCCCGATATAACAATACGATTTCTAACGAGGAATAATAACGGCACATCTGACGATTCCGCGTTTATCGAAGGAAAATAATGATCGGGCGATACTCACGTCTCGGTGCCGTTGCAGCTGCTATTGCTCAAATGATTGACAGATGCCGGTGTGTGCAAATGTGATTGATCTCGCGAGAGCGTTACGGTATACGGTAGCTTGAATCTGCCCCTCAGCTGGTCCCTTCTCTTCGGTTTTCGACTTAGATCGAACTCGCTTGCCCCTCGGTTCACGTAAGCACCGTGAAGCGAGTCTCGGGATGAACTGAAGTATCTCTGTGGCACCGAGTATACCTGTAAACCATGTTTCTCAATTTGTCAACTGTTAATAAACTGGCATCGAAACTGAGAACGTTTTAAAAACGCGGTTAAACGAAGAAATAAGAATAATTGATCGAAAGTGAAAGTATCATTTGAGGGAACGAAATATACTGTTCACTAGTGGAAAGAAGTTTCACGGGACGGCACAGAGGGGTTCTTCGTTAGGACCGCCCATCCCCGCCCACTTCAAACGGTTTGTTGTTGACTATCCTGACATCACACGCTACATAGCAGTGGAAGAGAATAGTTTGAATATTCAAAATTATAAAAATTATTTTCATTTTTTATGAAGTC